TAGTCGCTGCAGCAGCTCTGGTAGTACATGCAGAGGGTGTCGCACTGGCACTTGCGTTGTGCGTCGAAGGCATCGTCGCAGCGGCCCACGCAGGAGTCTGTGAAAGCCGACAGTCAGCGCAGGGGGAGCAATGAGGGGCGGGCAGCGGGGTCTGCGCCTTCCCCCCAGCTCAGCCTCAGGGGCGAAAGCAAACACAGACACGGCCCAGATAGGGGGGACCCCGCCTCTCCATGGGAAACCCATCCCAGGGGATACAGCAGCACCTCTCCCCACTTTCACCCAAGTCCCACTGGGATGGGAGCCATGGACTGGGCTGTGCTGGGATCTCAGCTCCACACTGGTAGTCCAGCCGTAGGATGGACAGGGATTTGCCCAGGCATCACTGACACCCATGTGCTGCCTTCTTGCCTTCTCCCTGTGCTGTGAGGTGTAGCCAACATGGCCTGTGGCCATTGCCACCACCTGGTCCCCTCCTCACCCTGCCCGGGCTCCCCAGCCGTCCCATCACCCCAGAAGCCGCACTTGCTCCATCCCCACCCTGAATGCCAGCGGGAAGCCGCCTGTGCAGGGCTGGGGGCTCACCTTCAGCAGCGTGGGCAGCAGCCAGCAGGGCCAGTGCAAGGGCTGGGAAGAGCAGCTTCATGCTGGGCAGCCGGGAGCACAGCCCTCCTGTGACTGTGCGGGCTGGAGCGCGGCTGCGGCCGGGGCCCTGGCATCCACTGTTTGCTCAGCCTGCCCCAATGGGAGAAAACAAACAGGCCAAGGTCAGAACAGAGGGGAAAGGGGCAGAAACGCTCTCCCACCCAGCATCCCACGCAGCTCACACCAAGCTTGGTGCATTTCAGGGGGCACAGGGCTCCCCAAATGTGCAGACAGCTTCGAGAGCTGCTGCCATGCCTTTGCTGCTGGCGCCTTCCCAGCCAGGGTGCAGGTTGGGCACTGGTTCAGAGAGCAGGAGACGACAGCAGGCCAGAGCCAGGAAGCAATTTTGGGGTCCTGCCACACTTATTTCACAGTAAACCTCATGGTATTAAAGCTCCCAGCACCTGTCTCAAAGTGGGGCCATTTCCCAGCCTGGTCTCTGCAAGACAAAAATGTAAGGGGACAGGGGATGGGTGCTCAGAGGGCAAAGGGATAAGCCCTTGGCTTATGCATGCCCAAAATGTCACCATTTCGGAGGACTTGCTGTTGGGATTTCAGCCTTCTTGATGTCAGCAAGGCTGGGAGCAGACCTGGGAAGCCCGAGGATACAGCGATTTGGGATGGGGCAGGTGCCACCTCTGAGCATGGGGACCAGGGGCCAGAGGTGAGCGGCCAGGAGGGAGAGCAGGAGCCCTCTGCACTTTCACTGTCGTAGGCAAACAAAATCCTGTGTATTTTGCTCCCATCATTCCCTTTCTGACCAATCTTTTCGGTTACTAATTAATGTTGACTCAGCTCTTTTGGCAGCTCCTGATAACTCTGGGATGTTTATTTAATCAGGGGCAAGGAGCAAACGCACACAGAGCTACAGAGATACTGCCCGAGGCTGCGGCACTGCTGTGGGGCAGGAGCTCCGTGGGGTCCATGCAGGAGCAGCGCAGTTCTGGGCTTCAATAAGTGATGGAAGATTTGGGGAGAGAAGAAACTGAGCAGGGTTCCTTCTCCATCGGCATCACCTCCCAGCTCGGACACAGGCAGTTCCCAGCATCGGCTGCTTCCACTCCGGCTGCAAAAAGCTTTAGTTTGGTGTTGAGAAAGGCGTTTCCAGATGGAAAGCCCTGATCAGCCGAGGGCAGCCACCAGACCTAAGCTCTTGGGGCAGGATTTCTCCTGCAGCCTCCTCACCCCCATCCTTGTCCCCTGGCCTCAGCCATAGCAGGGCTGGAGGTGGCCATGGGTGCAAGCACCAGCCCAGAG